GATCTATGCACAGCTCTTATGGACTAATTAGATTTAAATTTATTGCTTCCGCACATGTTAGCCCCATATGCATACTCTGACCCTTGAATCTCTTTTACCTAGGATTATCCTGGAATCTTTTGGCTAACCTCCACTCGCACCTTGGCATATTGGCTGAGATGTCACTATCTAGGCCCTCCACTCGCACCTTGGCATATTGGCCGAGATGTCACTATCTAGGCCGAGGTGTTCATCACCAAGGCCGAGATGTGTATTATCTAGGCCGAGATGTTACCCTAGCACCTAGTGATCTTGTTCCTGGATTGGTATGACCTAGACCGAGGTGTGGCACATCCAGGCCGAGGTGTGGCACAGCTTAGTCAAGTGTTGTCCCTCCTAGCCGAGATCATTGAGACCTTACTTGCCGAAGCCTTGTCCTTAGCCGAGATCATTACCTGCCGGAGTGCCTATACCATCTTGCTTGTTGAACACACTTTGTCATAGTCTTGTCCTTTCCCTCAGTCACCTTTTTTAGAAGAGCTAACCAGCCGATGCCACGTGTCCCAGCAGAGGGTTAAGTCAGTGAATTGTTGAGAAACACATCATTTTTTTTGTATCATATCCTTGTCTTTTAGAGAGAGAGGCTCTAGGAAGAAGAATGAGGAGTTCTTGGAGAGGGAATAGATTTTCAAGCTTGATCTTCACACCTTGAGCCGTTAGATTCGTATCTTGAGGTTAGAATCTTGATCTACTCTTGTTGTTCTTATTGTTCATCTAGCTGCATTGCATGATCGAGCATGATTTGTAAGCCATGAATTGATTTAAAGTTTGGTTTTAGAGAGAGAAAGTGATATTCATGTGTTCTTGAATAAAAGCCTTGTTTGATCCGAAAGCTTGCATCAAGATTCATGTTTCCATGTTTGTCTTCATAAAATCTTCAAGTATGGGTACCCAGGTCCATGTTTTCGAACTCATCTCATGAAATCCCAGATTTCGTAATAACAAGTTGTGATTGAGCATTCATGTTTTTCATGTTCTTCAACAGAGGGAAACCCAGATTTTCCCGACTTCATTTCCTTGAATGTGGTCGTCGGGACCACACCTCGGCAAGGAGGTGTGGGACCTCGGCCAAGACCTGGTTGGTGCCCATTATGTTTTCCCGAGATGAGAAACAGTGTTTTGTTTTGGTCCGACTTAATTTTGAAGGAACGCCGAGATCATTTGCATTCATGTAAAGTTTGTTTGAGAGTGCATCAAATAGACTTTGCCATGTGTTTGTAGGACTTGGACTCTTGCTTTGACCCCGATGTTTGAAGAACTATGTGAGTGGTATTTTTAATAAAGCTATGTTATGACATTTGAAAAAGCTTTGCCTTGCTTGTTTTGGAAAAGTATTTGTTAAGCATGAATGACTATCCCTATTTTGTGTATCAAGTATTAGCTTTGGTTTTGATAACATTCTTGACAAGTCCGTATGTGCTAAGGGACTATAAGAATTTGTAGCACAAGTCCGTATGTGCTAAGGGACTATAAGCATTTGTAGCACAAGTCCGTACGTGCTAAGGGACTATAATCTTTTGTAGCACAAGTCCGTACGTGCTAAGGGACTATAAGCATTTGTAGCACAAGTCCGTACGAGCTAAGGGACTATAAGCATTTGTAGCACAAGTTCGTATGTGCTAAGGGACGTGCTAGGGGACTCTAAGCATTTGTAGCACAAGTCCGTACATGCTAGGGGACTCTAAACTTTTGTAGCACCTTTGATTATGTCATCCCTTGTATTATTGATGCTAGTAAGCATCCCTTGAGACTTGAAAGATTTTTAGATGAACTTGATTTGCCCTTTGATTTCGTACAAGAAATGATGTGTTTTGGCTTGATGAAGATCTCAGATATCATTCATGCAAACCCCTTTATTGATTATATCATTCACTGAGTATCCAAGCTCACCCTCTCTATATATATATGTAGGTGATGAGCAGGACGGCGGTGACGCCTAGATACGTTTGGCATGATGTTTTGGATTCATACTTTTGATAGCATCTTGAAGACTATGCTTCTTGGCTTGTGACTCATTGTATTTTGCATATGTCGGTTTGAGAAGCCTTTTGATCAAGATGTATTATGTACTTATTCATTTGTATTCAAGTTGTAAGACCTCGATATGATGTATGTCATTTCATTTGATTTATGCACAGCTCTTATGGACTAATTAGAATTAAATTATTGCTTCCGCACATGTAAGCCCCATATGTATACTCTGTTTGTGTGTGAATCTTTGTAAGTTGGCCTTTGGTAATCTCGGATTACTGGCCATCATGGCACCATTCTACTATGGGCGGAATGGGGTCGTGACAGTAATTTACTTGGAATTGAATGAGTAATTTATTAGGAATTTACTGGGAATTCACTGAAAATTTACTCAGTAATTTACTGAGAACTTACTGCGAATTTACTAAGTAATTTACTTGGAATTTACTGAGTAGTTTAATGAATAATTTACATAGAATTTTCTGGGAATTTACTGAGTAATCTACTAGAAATTCACTAAGAATTTATTTAGAATTTACTGCATAATTTTTTGTGAATTTACTTGGAATTTACTCAGTAATTTATTGAGAATTTACTGGGAATTTACTGAGTAATTTATAGAGAATCTATTGAGAATTTACTGGGAATTTTTTGAGTATTTTACTAAGAATTTACAAGGAATTTGCTGAGTAATTCATTGAGAATTTAATGAGTAATTTACTGAGAATTTACAAGGAATTTACTGAGTAATTTGTTGGGAATTTACTATGTAATTTACTAAGAATTTACTTGGAATTTATTGAGTAATTTATTGAGTAATTTACTAGGAATTTACTCGGTAATTTATTGAGAATTTATTGGAAATTTACTGCGTAATTTACTAAGAATTTACTGAGTAATTTACTGAGAATTTACTCGAAATTTACTAAGAATTTACTTGAAATTTACTGGAAATTGACTAAGTAATTTAGTGAGAATTTATGGAGAATTTACTGAGTAATTTACTGAGAATTTACTGCGTAATGAACTGAGATTTTACTAGGAATTTACTGAGTAATTTACTGAGAATTTACTAGGAATTTAGTATGTAATTTTCTAAGAATTTATTGCGTATTTACTGAGAATTTACTGAGTAATTTACTAGGAATTTACTAAGTAATTTACTGAGAATTTATTAAGTAATTTACTGGAAATTTACTGAGTAATTTGCTGTGAATTTTCTAATAATTTACATGGAATTTACTAAGTAATTTACTGAAAATTACTGGGAATTCACTGAGTGATTTACTGAGAATTTACTGAGTAATTTACTGACCATTTAATGAATAATTTATAGAAATTTACTAGAAATTTACTGAGTAATTTACTGAATGATTTGCTGAGAATTTAATGAGTAATTACTTTGAATTTACAGGGAATTTACTAAGTTATTTACTGAGAATTTTTTGCGAATTAACTGAGTAATTTACTAGGAATTTACTAATTAATTTATTTTCAATTCACTGGGAATTTACAAAGTAATTTACTGAGAATTTAATGGGAATTTTCTGAGTAATTT